GGATGCTTATTTCTTTCTATCTTCTTCTTCTTCTCTAGGTGGAGGTGGATCTTTGAGTGGATTTTTTTGCTGGATTTTACTGTTCCATTGGTTTTCTCCTTGGCTGCTTTATAGTTGCTGGTCTCTGCAGACATGACCACACCTATTGATGTTGCCATTGACTCTGTTTGGACCAAGGCAACTTATGTTGGGGTTGTTGGAAACTCTAATGATGTTTTACAAGACCTGGATCACTTGGTTTTCCCTCAGGAATTCCATGACACTGCTGCAGGAATAGGAAATTGCCCTTGTATCCATCCACTTGGATCCAAGGAAGGAGAAAATGTTGTGTTCTTTACCAACAGAGAAATAATCTCTCTAAAAGAAGATGTGAAGTTTACCTTAGTAGGGAAGTTTCAGTTGGGACACCCAAGAATGGAGCTGATTAGAAATTTCTTTGAATCACTTCAATTTATTGGTAATTGGAAGATAGGGCTGTTGGATGGAAGGTACCTACTCATCCAATTAACAACTGAGGAAGACTATGCCAGGCAATCTATAATCATTGCTGGAACTACCATGAAAATTGTAAAATGGACCCCTGATTTTGATCCAAGCAAAGAACCCCCAGTAGTCCCTATTTGGTACAAATTCCCTGGGCTTCCACTTCCTTTCTTCAAGCTGAATGCACTGTTTAACATAAGGAGAGCTCTGGGCACACCTTTGAAAGTAGATGCACCCACTTACAATAAAGCCAGGTTAGCTTTGGCCAAAATACAAGTGGAAAGAGACATCACCCTCCCTGAAGTGAAAAGAATCTGGATTGGCTCAGATAATGATGGTTTTCGGCAGAATATTGTCCCTGAACAGAAGCCTTATTACTGCCAACACTGTAGAATGTTTGGCCATACAGTGGAAAGATGCTACAGAATACATCCACCAATCAAAAGAAATACTGGCAAAGATCATAAGGAAACAGGCAATATAGCACAACAAGCTACAGAAAATTCTGCTGAAGATACACAGCTGAACAACAAGAAGGATTACACTCAAATAAATAAAGATACACTTCCAATCACTAAAGGAAAAT